ACAGGTACTGACATTGAAGAAATAAATAATTTGAAAGGGTTCCTACACAATCAGTTCAAGATCAAGGATCTGGGGATATTACACTACTTCTTAGGTCTGGAAATCCTTTATACTGCAGTGGGAGTCATCATTTCACAAAGGAAATTTGTTTTGGATCTTCTCAAAGAGTATCAATGTTCTCAATTTTCCAGCTTCAATTCACCCCTTGATGCAACTGTTAAGCTTAGAGCTAATGAGGGTACACTTTTATCAGATCCTAGCTCTTACAGAAAGTTAATTGGGAAGCTCAATTTTCTCACCAATACTAGGTTAGATATTGCATATGGGGTCCAACATCTTAGCCAGTTTATGCAGAATCCTAGAGAACCTCACATGCAGGCTGCTTACCACATGCTCAGGTACCTTAAGAAAGATCCAACACTGGGCATACTCATGTCTTCTACTGATGATTACAAGGTACAAGCATTTTGTGACTCTGACTGGGCTACATGTCCTGATTCCCGCAAATCAGTCAGTGGATATATTGTATTATTCGGCTCTAGTCCTATTAGCTGGAAATCTAAGAAGCAGGAAACCATTTCGCTTTCCTCAGCTGAAGCAGAGTACAGGTCCCTACGAAAGGTAGTTGGTGAGCTAACTTGGTTGGAACGATTGTTTGATGAACTCACAATTCCTAGAAATGGTCCTTTCCTTGTTTATTGCGATAGCCAGTCAGCATTACACATTGCCCGTAATCCAGTTTTTCACGAAAGGACAAAACACATTGAGGTCGACTGTCATTTTGTACGAGCCAAGCTTCACGAAGGCCTCATTTGTTTGAATCACATTGGCACCGGTGATCAACTGGCTGACATACTCACTAAAGCACTTACTGGAATCAAACATGCTGCTCTACTGGACAAGTTGGCTGCCTTGATATCGCCTCCAACTTGAGGGGGGGTATTGAGATATTTATCAGTCCATTTATTAGTTAATAGTTAGTCCACGTCATTGTATACTGTTAGTTAGTTACAATCAGTTAGAAGTTTGTTAGAGATTGTTAGCAGTAGTTTTTCAGTTAGTTCTATAAATAGTTTAGCTCATAGTTGTAATCTCAGATTGTTCAGTTCAATACAGAGAGATTTGTTCTCCTATTCTTCATATGCTTCTCCAATGGAGATTGCACAGTTTCACCATTCTAGGTGAATTCCTTACTCTCTAACCCATCAATTTGACAAAAACAAAACAGAGTTTTTCAGATCCTCCATGGCAGAAGTGATCCTCCATGTTTACGACATAACCAAAAGTGATGGGCACGACGCAGTCAATTTCGGTGTAGTCCAAATGAACAGGCTACTCAAAGACACCATCTATTTCGGCGGCATCTTCCACACTGCCGTCCAAGTTTACGACAACGTTGAATGGGCCTACGGGTCTTGTGAGAAAGGCAGCGGGGTTTTCAGTTGCCCCGCTACCAAAAACCCCAATTACACGCATCGCGAAAAGATTGTATTGGGCAGAACAGAGTGCTCTGCCCACAAAGTCAATCAGATCTTAAAAGATCTTCGCGATGCATGGCCAGGTAACAAATACAATATGGTCTCAAGGAACTCAAAGCATTTCTGTGACGAGTTCCTTGAGAAATTAGGCGTCCCAAAACTACCGAATTGGGCTAACAGATTTGCTAACATTGGTGATATTGCAAAGGAAGCAGCAGGGACAGTAGTTAAAGCTAAAGATAAAGCGTCTAAACTTGTGTTTCATCCGGTTGATTTTGCTTCCAACCTGACCACTGTTAATAAAAACTCTAAAGCAATATATAGCCCTAGTGAGTTTAGGTTCCGCTTTGATTTTGCTGTTAAGAATTTTAAGGTCGCTGCACCGGTTATCCGCTCCGATCGATGATAAGCCATGTGTACGATTCATGCTCAATTAATTAACACTACCATAAGAAAAGAAGAATCTAAGATGTAAACCTTGTAGTTTTCTAAGTTTGGTTTGTCTCAAAATAATGTAGTTTGTATTTAGCTAAATGTATTAATGGAAGAGTGACTGTATTGTAAAATCAAATGCTTACACCCTCACTAGGGGTCTAAGATTGTCCAATCGTCCCATCAAAAATGGATAATTTTGAACTTCGAATGTTCTCTATTACATACATTAAGAACAACATGTCCAACAAACAAAAAATCAATGGAGAACAAGATAAAGCAGACATGTCAATGAGAGAAAAAAAACAGAGAAACAGAAAAAAGTTAACTTGGCACACCTATTAAAAAAAGGGAAAAGGGTCAAAAATACCCCTCAACTTTGGTTTATTGTTTGACTACGCCCTCGCCGTTAAAATGAAGTTATTTTTACCCCTCCCGTTACTAATTTCACCAAATTTACCCCTCAATTGGATGGAAAACCCCAAATTGACTCAGTTTAACCCAAATTTTAAAAAAAGACCCATTCCCCATTTTAAACCCAATGCCCGACCCATCCAAAGTTGAGGGGTATTTTTGACCCTTTTCCCTTTTTTTAATAGGTGTGCCAAGTTAACTTTTTTCTGTTTCTCTGTTTTTTTTCTTCTCATTGACATGTCTGCTTTAACTTGTTCTCCATTGATTTTTTCTTTGTTGGACATGTTGTTCTTAATGTATGTAATAGAGAACATTCGAAGTTCAAAATTATCCATTTTTGATGGGACGATTGGACAATCTTAGACCCCTAGTGAGGGTGTAAGCATTTGATTTTACAATACAGTCACTCTTCCATTAATACATTTAGCTAAATACAAACTACATTATTTTGAGACAAACCAAACTTAGAAAACTACAAGGTTTACATCTTAGATTCTTCTTTTCTTATGGTAGTGTTAATTAATTGAGCATGAATCGTACACATGGCTTATCATCGATCGGAGCGGATAACCGGTGCAGCGACCTTAAAATTCTTAACAGCAAAATCAAAGCGGAACCTAAACTCACTAGGGCTATATATTGCTTTAGAGTTTTTATTAACAGTGGTCAGGTTGGAAGCAAAATCAACCGGATGAAACACAAGTTTAGACGCTTTATCTTTAGCTTTAACTACTGTCCCTGCTGCTTCCTTTGCAATATCAGAAAATGGGTTTGTTGTTAATGTTTTTTGCTTGATGTCGTTTCTGGTTCTTGGGGGTTTTTAGTGGTGGTTTCAGGTGGTCGTTTGGAGGTTGTTTTGGTGGTGTTTCGCCGGAAAACGGAGAAAATGAATGGCGATTGCCGGAGCTTGATTTGGGGTTTTAATTTGGTATAAATGGGTCGGGTTCGGATTAAAAAGAGAAAAAATTGGGTTATTTAATTGAAATTGGGTAATTTTAATTGATTTGGGTTTTCCATCCAATTGAGGGGTAAATTTGGTGAAATTAGTAACGGGAGGGGTAAAAATAACTTCATTTTAACGGCGAGGGCGTAGTCAAACAATAAACCAAAGTTGAGGGGTATTTTTGACCCCTTTCCCTTAAAAAAATAATACTCCCTCTGTTCCAATTTATGTGACTTACTTTTCTTTTTGTCAGTTCCAAAAAAAATGACACATTTCTATATTAATAACAAATTTCTATCATTCATTTTGGACCACAAATTTTAAAAATCTTCCTTTTTTTCTTAAACTCTGTGCCGAGTCAAAGTATCTCACATAAAATGGGACGGAGGGAGTAATTGATATAGTGAGTTTACTATTTTAGCTCTATTAATTGATAGAGTTCTAAAATCAATTTACTCATTAAAGAGGTTCTATCTTTTTTAAAAACATTAATTCTCTAAATAATTTTTTTCTTCATTTATAAAAATGACAAGTAAAAAAGGATAACTAAAAAGTCAAAATTAGACAAGTAAAAAATGACTAAAAGAGTGACATGAAAGCAGATCCATGATCTTTTCTTAGATAGAACTAAAGCCATAAATTTTAAGGTTTTCTATATACTCCCTCCGTCCAATAACAATATTTGTTCATTATACTAAAAATAGTTGTTCAACAATACTTGTTCGATTTAGAAAATCAAGAGATAATTTTCTCTTTTGTGTCTATTTTATCCTTACTATTAAATATTATTTATCATCTAACACATTTTTCAAAACATTAAATTTAATAAAATCAAAGGACAATATAGTGATGATAATATAGTGATACTCCCTATGTCCCTAGTTATTTGTCTATTTTTCCTTTTTTCGTTGTTCCTAATTACTTGTCCATTTTGGCAAATCAAAAAAGGACAAACCCTTAATTAATTATTTTGAAAAAAAGATAGAACTTTTTGAAAATCTTAAGTTTTTAATATATCCACTTCATAATTAATAGGGGTAAAATGGTAAACTCACTATGTCAATAATTGTTTTCTTAATTAATATGTCAATTTAAAAGTGGACAAGTAATTAGGAGCAGAGGGAGTATTACCCCTATTATTTATTATTTATTAAAGAGTGTGTCAAGTCAATAATGGACAACTATTATTATACAGATGGAGTATATTTGACAAAAACAATGTAACTGATGTTTGGGCCTAATTGCTGAAAGCCTAAAAAAATTGTACCACAAAGCTAGTGTTGTGTTGGAGTTGAGATTTTAGTATGGTTGTGTTGTCTACGGTGAATGAATTGAGCCCAAACTTGGATTCATACATTTTATATACTCCATATTGCCAAGGCCATAATTGAGAGTTACCTCATCCGTTTTAATTTGTGCGATATACTAATAAACTCATCAAGAATTTAAGAAAGAAATGAGAACTTTTTATATTTATAATTTTAAACATGTGCTAATATTTATGGATTATAAAACTTATATTCTTAAACGGGGCATAATATTTTTGTAACTATAAAAAAAATTTAAGTATTTTTTCTTTTTCATATTCAGACTTCAATGCGTGAAATTGACAAATACCAAACTTTCAAACTGCTAATTGAAACTTAGCCAGCATTTCAAAATCATTCAAACTTAGCCGCTTTTTAATACGGAAATAAAATTTAGATAAAAAACTATCCCTAGGTAAATATTACAAAAACATTTCCAGCATAATATGATGAGCTAGACTAAGTCAATGTCTTGTATAAGGAGCTTTTTATTGAATATCACAGTTGAAAGGGAGAGATAAATCATACACAAATTATAAGTTATTTCACTTTTGCAAGTTAGACTATTTTTTCAATTACTCATTCTTTTTCCCTTTAAAATAGCTCATATTATATGTACACATTAAAAAAAAAAGTACCAAAATATGACAACTACCATTTTCTCTTTAAAAATTCTGCTGAACCAACATGATAATGCAACAGAAATCAAATAAATAACATGCAACATTTGTATAGTACTGAAAACTTTTTAAAATTTTTTTTTAACAACTACTTCAATTAACAATTCCATGCAAGCTGATCTATAGAATTTATGTTAGTGAAAATTCCACACGGCACCAATTCAGAATCCATGAACTCAAAATCAAAGTCGGAGCCTTCATCAAATGTCACATTCTCCGCGATTCGTGGTCCATCGTTGTTGAACTCATGAAGATCATTAACCTTGTAGAGTACTTCCTCTTGACAATTCTTTTCCTCAACCTGAACTTGTCCCTCTTGTTTCATTTCTTCATGTCCATTACCAAATTCATGATGTGGAGTTTCAAATCCAGTAATAGACCACATACAATTTTCATTAATAATAGTACTCTGCTTTTTGTAATCAATGGTACTGGCAAAGTTTGAGTTTCCAATAATATTCGTAGTGGTGGGAACACAAACAGATCCATATAGCCGACTCAAACTTGTTTGGCACTGAGGCATATTAGTGTAATTAGGAAAAGTTGACAATGCTGCAAGACTTGCTTTGATCAGGTCCATTGAAACCAACTCTTTCGTTGATGATGACGATAAACTAGTTTCAATAGTGAAAATTGATGATGTGGTATAATTATTGTTGGCTTTTTTCTTAGTAGAAAG